TGTATTTTTGTCGTAACTATCCAATAGCACTTTAGTTGTAAATAATTAATTTAATTTGTTAAAAATAATATTGGAAAATTAAACAAATTAATATTCTGTTTTTTTGTATTTATTTGGAGTTAGGAATTATTGCTGTGTTTAAAAACACAATACAATCTACACGTGATCGTTTCTTAATTACTTGTAATGCCCAAATCGAAAATGTAAAAAAAATATTATTTTCCCATAAATAATTAAAAATGCATGGAACCTTAAAAATCGAAATATCTCAAAAACGGCTAACTATAACGAAAACTCACAGGAGAGCTCTTTTATGTTGAAAAGTGCGAAGAATCAGTCTTTTTATTCAAAAAGCAAAAAATTGCACTAAGAAAATTTTTTCGGTCATTTTAATACACTACAGGTACAGTAGAGAGCGCCCTGTAGCGGCTACAGTAAAACTATGCCCATGGTTCGTTTTGTCGTACCAAAAAACCCTTGTATACCAATTTTCACTGTTATACATCAAATATTTAAAAAAAACTATTTTAGAAAGTAAATTTAAACACCCTGTATTTCGGAAGCCACGCATTTTTCGACCCATGTTTATATAGACTTTATGCATTAATTTTAAAAGTTCTATCGAATGTTAAAGTTATGCAACACTAAACTGAAACACCCTGTATGGTAAATACTTCATTAAAAAAACAATAATGTAATAATAAAGACAACGTTTTAATCTATTCTTCTTTCCTTTTGCTTCTTCATGCTTGATTAGTTTTCTTTTAATATTATTGATAAAGTAGTACCTTGTTATATTATGTACTTCATTGGAGCAACACTGTATTGATTACAGCGTTTGACTAAAAAAGGCGAATGCAGTAACGAAGTTTATGTGGTTGTTACGGTGTTTGACTGAAATTGTTCAGTCATTGCAGGGAATGACTGAAATGCTTAGTCAAACGTTGTAATAATCAAACTTACGGTGTTTGCCGGCAATACGGGGACTGGCTAGGCATTTCAGGGACTGACGGATTTCAGCGTATGACGCCGACATATATATTATCACCTCTTACGTCGATAAAATCTATTATCATTTCTGAATTTTGTAATGTTTGAGCAAATCAATTATTACTCTCTGTTGTTTCACGAATTACTTTCGTCACTAGCGCATTTTTGGTTTAAATGTGGTTTTTAACAATCCTTCAACAAGAAATTCAGACCATTACGTGCATATGGTTAAGTAATTATTGCTAAAATAAAATGTTCATTGAAATAGGAGGTCGAATAATTTTAAGTGTTTATTGTAAACAATTGACTCACCTTTCAATAAATTCTCTTGTATAAATGAGTACACTAGGCAGGTGTGATGGGGAATGAGAAATTGATAAAGTGAAGATGCCACCGTTGCTTTTATACATACAAAATTCATGTGGGCATATGCAAATGTTCCGGTACCCCAAAAATATGTTCTGCTAGGTGATGTTAATAACAGATGACATGAACAAATAGTTAAGGGGGGTGTAGGATGAAGTATGGGTTTACCTGTTGACAATATAAAATTTCAGTTCTTTCCAACAATTAATTTCTGACTAGCAGAGTATGTCAATTACAGTCATCCACGTAATAATGATATAATTCTGCCTAGCTATACGCGCTGAACCGATGTTTCACTTTAAATACAGTTTGCGACTAACAGAAGAGACTTTATAATATATATCTCTACTATATATATATACAGGGTGTTCCATAATTATTGCGACAAAATGATAGGGGTTGTCACATAAAAATTGCAAATAACCCCTGTTAATAGTTGAGCCTACAGTTAATTTTAAAGACTCTAGGAGAAGAAAAAATCACCAGCTGCATTCGTCTATATAACGTTAAAAAACTGCGTGTTTACATTTTTGTTATCGTATATTTTAAAATAAGCTGGGTCCAGCAGATATCGCCTCGACGTTTTTGCCGTTGGTGGCTGCAGCAGGAGTTGAGGCAACCAAACTTTGGTCGCTACGTTTTGTTCACTGACGAGTCCTGTTTTACAAAGGACGGTTATTTTAATAGCTAGCAGTCACATTTGGGATGAAGAAAACCCTCATGCCATAGCCATCCATAGAGACCAACATCAGTTTTCAATTAACATCTGGTGCGGCATTGTGGACGAGCATATCATCGGGCCATATCTGCTTCCACCACGTTTGGATGGGCATGCTTATGGTCGATCCTTACAGCATGTGCTACCGGAACTATTACAAAATGTGCCACTGAATATAAGAGCCAACATGTGGTTTCAACACCATGGCGGTCCAGCCCACTTTTCTTTACAAGTGCGGCAGTATTTGGACGACAAATTTCCAAATAGGTGGATAGGCCGAGGTGGCCCTGTGCCTTGGCCTGCGCGGTCACTTGACCTGACCCCACTGGATTATTTTATCTGGAGCTATCTGAAAGCTTTAGTGTACGAAACTCCTGTTCCCAACCAACAAGAGCTACTGGGAAGAGTGATGGCCGCGTCCGCACTTGTTCAGGACATACCGGGGGTATGCCACAGAGTTCGCCCATCATTGAACAATCGTGCACAGCTGTGTATTGAGCAAGGTGGAGGACACTTTGAGCAATTACTGTAGGTAAGCTGTTTCAAGAAACTGATCTTTTTTTTTGCTGCAGCCCAAACGGCATATTTCCGAACAGGGGTTTATAAGGAAAAATTGTTCATTTTGATGCCCTACAACCCCTATCATTTTGTCGCAATAATTATGGAACACCATATATATATATATATATATATATGAAAGCACCCTATATATATATAATGCGTATTCGATTCAACGAATATGTTTTTCGAAAAATAATTGTTCTAGCATACCACATATTTTAGAAATTATAAAGTACATTTAGGTTTTCGGATCTGTTCATTTTTGAAACAGATATAAGGAAGTTAAAAACGGGATCTATTATGCATCCATTAAATATATTAAACACTTTTTTTACAATAACTTAATTTATTGACCATGGCAGTGGCCTCAGTATCTATATGTCATAAAAAGCTACATAACCAACACATAAAACACTTTTGTCGGAATATTCAAACAATGCCACCATTTAAAAAAAATGCAAGCTGTAGCATTTCGGTTCATTTGAATCACCATAGAAGTATTTTTATTCTGCCTCAAAAGGACGGTAATATTTTTCGCGCGTGGGTAGGTATCAAAAACATTCTTTTTCACGGGCTACAGGCCAAACGGTTTGATGGATCTTAACATATCAAGTGTAGTTGGATTCGTTTTAGCAGTGCAAGTGACATTGGCTGTATTAAAATGTTATAAAAACAATGGCGGATTTAAAAAAAATTAACAGTGAAATTCCTATTTCATGGACTAGAGCTTAAACGATTTGTTGGATTTTGACATCAGAGATGCTGTTGAATATGTCTCAGCAGTGTGAGTGACACTAGCTATATTAAAATTTTATGAGGATAAAATGGAGAATTTTAATAAAAAATCAACCTTAAAATTACTATTTTTCAACCGTCAGACGATTTTGACTTATAAGGTGTAGTGGGATTTGTCTTAGCAGTGCGAGTGATACTGGCTATATAGACAATTTTAATATTAAAATTTAATAAAAACGAAATGGCGAATTTTAATAAAAAAATCAATCTTGAAATTCCCATCTCACGGGCTACAGCTTAAACGGCTTGATGGATTTTAAAGTATGAGATGTCTCTAGATTTGTCTTACACTGCGACACTGGGTATACTAAAATTTTATAAAAACAAAATGGAGAATTTTCATAAAATAATTCAACCTTGAAATTAATATTTCACGGGCTATACTTTAAACACGGCTCAATCTATTTTTACAAATGAAGTGTCTCTAGATTCCTCTTGATAGCACAATTTAATCTTCATTTTTATTCAGTTACTGCTGTCGGGTTGTTTATATTTTTTAAAATGGACTTATTTTTTCCTCAAGGTTACTTCCGTACTTCAATTTTGGCACCTAAAAACTTGATCAGATTGGACTATAAAGGGCATATAAAGGCTATGATGTATTCGAGAGCATAGAATGTGAGTATGTCGTTCAGGCATGCGGGCGCTACGATTGGCTCGCAGGCCAATTGATTGTAAAGTGAATGAAATAAACGTGCACATACTACTGAGCAAGTTTGTGATACACGCCACACATCTGCGGTGTGATTGCTATCAATTTATTGATCTACAAGTGCATCTCCTCTCGAGAGAGATCGGAGATTGCAGCTTCCAAAATCTCGCCATCACACATCTATGTAGAGCAACCGCGACACTTAGTATGCAAGCATTGCCCTCTCACTGCTTGAGAAAGTGAATAGTTAACACAACAGAGCAAGCAGAATCATAAAAGAATGTTATATGTAACACCTTTTTCGTTTTTGAGCATACCTGACATTCCTTGAGATTGTAATATTCTTTTCTTGTTGGTTCTATTCATAAATTCGGTCAACTCAAAACATTTATTAAAAAGTATATTTCGGCGTCTTCAAACGCCATCTTCCGGTTCATTTGACTTTCTAAAACTAAACAAAAGCGTTTGAAAATAGTAAATATTAAAAATGTAAAATTAACATACAGAAAGACTTGCTAGTTTTTAAAAATAATTACACTTATGCCAGATCCATGTTGGTAGTTTGAGTGTAGGCTCGCGATAAATATTTTCTAATAGTATCATATGCTATATGCTTATTAGTGTGAGAAATGAAGCATTATTTTAAATAATTACTATATTAGCAGTAGGTGCTTATTTGGAAGTCCTAATTTGCAATCACAACAAGGGAAAAGCAATTCACAAAAGAAAACAAATTTTTTAACTAAATCTAATGATAATAAATATAAGCATTGCTGTTAGATCTTATATACATGGCAAGTGCTCTGTTGAAATAATCAACTGACTGCATCTCTTATTTGCCGAGGAAAATTAATATGCATTGTAAATGAGTGAATTCATTATGCATTTCATATTAGCTTCATTCAAATAAAAGTCAGAGTTAGTTCTGGTATTATAAGAATCGTTGTTTGTTCTCAGGTAAGCAGGTTATTCCTTTTACAATTTAGTAAACAAATATCATTGTTGTTTAAGATTTATCTTTCAAATATTGATAGCCGTATAGAAATAATTAAAAAGTAAAGTTTCATTGAATTTCTCCTTTATAATATACTCGACATGCCTGTTAAAATTTAGGTTTTTGTCTGACATAAGTCCCAGATATTTTATTGTTTCTACTATATCAATGGCTGATTTGGATGTTAGCTGCTATTATATTCTTGTGCTTGTTTCCGTTTGATATAATTTGCTTTCAATTTCTAACATCCAGTTTGATTCATTTTTAGATTCACTTCAATAAATGCAAGATCACGATTTATATCAATAGCGTCACCCAAGTTTCTTGCGGGCCAAATACGCCTCTGGGTTATCAGCAAATCGATTTATGGAGCTACTTTCGTGAACAAGTTCCCCATAATACAGATATAAAAACAATGGCCTCAGAACGCTACCCGGAGGATCTCTGAAGCCTAAAGTAATGTTGTTGGGTATACGAGGTCTGGAAATTAAGTAATGCGATTGGCTCCGATACTGGAATTGACTTCAGCTGGTCGGTTGCAACCGTTTGAATGTTTGCGACTGTCCCAAAGTGAGTTCTCTGGAAATGATTTTCCAACTTCGTGAAGAGAAAAAAGTCGCAAGGACTCAAATCAGGCGAATAAGGAGGATAAATATTTTACTGGCCAAAAACTCGTTTATTGACATTGATGTGTGACAAGGAGCATTATCGTGATGCAACAACACCGAGTTGTTCTTGATTTGATAAACGGTGGTGAGTCAAATTTAACTGTTCTTCGAGCATTCTGACTGTCGACCGGCGATCTGAACGGACAAGATCTCGGATTCTGTAGATATTTTCATCGGTTCTTGAAGGTGAAGGCCTTCCGCTTCGTGGTTCATATTCAATCGACTTTTTCCCTCCTGAGAATGCCTTAAACCAACGAAAAACCTAGAATCTTCACAAAATACCCTTAGGCCTGTTTAGCAAGAGTATCCGTTGTACTGTGCCCAGGTGCAAAACCTGATAGCACACCATTGTTCGAAGTTGATGTCACTCATTTTTAGAACACAATAGGAAAAACTGTTTCACAAAAAAAATCGCTACGGACAACCAAATAACTCGAGCGAGTTCAAACTTGTAATGAAGGCGGATCACATGTTCCACTGTCTCCCCACCAAGCCCGGGGCGTCAAGTTTTGCCAGACAGAACGCTACGTTGTTCTTCTTAGTCATAAGATTATTAGTTTCTAAATATTCAGCAATTTGTACGCACGTTTCCATAGCTATTTCATGTGGTATCAAAGTATTTATAGGGTTAAAACCGGATGCCTATACAGTATTAGGTACTTTAGGGATTATGAGCAACAGGTACTGGAAGTGGTAGCTGATTGTGTGCACCATGCACTGAATATTCCAGACCGTGTCATCTATTCCAGTTCGCCCGTATCTTTCACACGTACACCACGAAGCCAGAATAGATCCTACAATATACCTTCAATCTGAATATTAATTATCAAAACAAGGTCTCTTTCCGTGACGCAAACATGGAGAAGATAACACCGTTGTTTATTAACATCTAAATGAAACATCGGCAACAAATACCTCTTTTGTCATTTATTTATGGTACATATAACATGGCAAACAGCTTACGCACATATGGTACATTTAGGATAAATCACAATTTGTACAAAATAATGTTTACTACATAAATACAACAAAATCCCTACATTCCCCCACTCTTTTGCAGCATCTGAGCAAACCTGTTTGTGATCAGCAATGATACGTCTATGAATCGGTCTACGCAGTTGGTCAGACAAGTCTCCGTTTTGCTGTCAAGCTTGTTAGAAGGCTTGTCGACGCATTTGTCCCAGCATATGTCGTTGAATTCGTGAATCTGCAACCATAAAATGAGACTCAGGCGCCACGTTTTAACAAGAATCGGGAAAAACTATTAGGGTCTAACTATACCGTATCCCCAATTCAATACTGCTATAAATGCAAATATACGAGTTTAGAAATAAAAGGGCTTTTAGAAGGTGCTACTACTACTATGTTGTTTTTGCTACCATATCCAAGAAAAACATATTTTTACAGATTTAAGAGGTACAACTTTATCTCATTTGATACTTTGATTCATTTGAAAGGGAAATTGCGCCAAACTCAAAATCTGTAACGATTACACTTATGGCAGTATTGAATTGGGAGTGCAATATAAGTATATCGGCAGTATCGGTCTAATTTGCCGATATATGTTTCTTAAGTGGGCGATAGCGCACTCTTGCGGGAGCTGGGGACCTTCGGGAAGAAACTGTCCTTAATCACAGATAGTCTATCCGCTAATCTTGTAACCGCCCATAACTTGAGAAGTACCCCTCGATTTCGATTAAATTTTTAGACAGCCAAGGACGCAAAAGCTTTGTAGATATTGAAAATCGGTCCTGTGGCGGAGGAGACATTTGGAAAATTTGTTTAGGGATTAAAAATTGAGGGTTAGGGGTTGCAAGGGGTGGGGAAGGTAGTTTTTGACGTTGGTATATTTATACGCCTCCAACCGTCTTATTAGACATATTTTACTAATCATAGATGTCCGCGTACATGTATCCTTAAAACTTAGAAATATCAACTGTCGCGTGTCGATAGATATAACATGGTATGAATAATAGTCGTACGCTGTGTGTGTAAAAGTCAATATCAATATATATAAAAAAATACAGTCGGGTGTCGATACGTGCAACGTCGTCCCCTGATAGACAAGAGTCATCGACGATGGTCGAATGTCACAGTCGGCAATCGCTTCCACACTACTGTGGACTGAGTGCGTGCTGAATGAATATCGTCATTCACGCAGGATTGGTCATGTGCACCTGCAGCAATTCCTCTCAGGGGGAGGGAAAGGTTATTTAATTTTTTATTATACATGTTCGTGGTTAACTTTTTTCGCAGAGGGGCTAAGGTCCGTATCGTCAGTCGTCCCTACAATTGTAGGGCGCGTTTATGGCCTCCTTGATTGTCATCTTCCTTGATTGTCATACTGCTTTCTCTCCTTCAAAAATTTCTAGATTACACTTGTCCCGTGTCAGCGTCAGCGCTCTCCTATTGTGAAGATATGTTTTCTTTTTAAATTGTAGGAAATTTCAGGTTGATAAAACATGATATAACTCAAAAGCAAGCACAATTTGGTGCAAATAGATGTTTGTGACATAACCTCAAAATAGAGTTCTGACACTGAGAAGTAGAAAACTAAGGTCAACTTAAAGCAGTTTTCACTATAAAATCACCCACAATTGTACAAACAAATTGTGCGACTAAAGGTTTAAGTAGATTTATACCTTTTTACACAGAATAAATGCTTAACGTATTCAGAAAATTGAGGTTTATATGCACATATATCTGTTTCCGCAATAATATGCCTAAAAATGGGAGTCTTCTAGACTTATACCGTTTTCCACCAAGCAAGATAAAAGTATATAAAATTTGCCAGTGGACTTAACTCATTTTTCACAATTTTGGACTTATACCCGTTTTCACGCCGGACCGCCAATTATTTACAGAAACACCGGTATATGGGTGTTTGGAATATCTTAAAGCTACGATACAATTTTAGCGCACGTTAAACTGATTTTTACACTCAACACGTTTTGTTATGTCCATTTTCGGGGGTAAATTGGAACTTCAGATCAAAATTCCGTTTCTAAATCAATCTAAAGATAATGTAAACTTGAGTTTCTAACAAATTTGCAGTCCTACAGAAATTATTATAAAAGTGCAAGAAATGAAATGATCATAAATTGGTTCTAAAGCTTATAATAAAATAGGTTTTCAAAGGATTTTTTTAAACGCCAATGTACCGTAGCAATACGTTTTTCTGCCATTTTATGATATCTATGAAATATTTATTTCCAGCTTATAACGTTTATAGTGATGCCTAGGTTGACAATGAACAATTTTTGATCAATTGAGTATCTTAATGTTTAGTGGCACAAAAGAAATGTACATATCAAGAAAATAACCTATTATTATGGATTTCAATAAACCATTATGTTTTTCTATTTGTATGTAACTCCTAAGGTAATAGTTTCATCAAAAAGGAAGCAAGACGCTGCACTTTACAGGAAGGACCTGCCTGAAAATAACATGTGTAAAGTTATGAGGCCATAAGCATAACAGCATTCGTCATATACACTGTACAGGGTGGTTTAAAATTTAGTTGCAATACTTCTAGAACACAAAGTACGTCCAAAAATGATAGAAAACGATTCTATAAGAACAGGTGCTAAAAAGTCCCACTACCGTGGGAATCTTCAACACCCATACACGGATGACAGAATGAGACTGATTAAGGACAAAACATGCATATTCTTCAACTTTCATACAATAACGAGCTTTCTTATTAATATTTTTCTACTGTGTATGCAACGACGGTTTTGGGCTGTACTCTAGCTACGGATGGATCTTTCGAACGAAGTCATACCATTTCGGAAACTAGAATACCTTAATAACATGTGAAGATCAACATTGATAATAAGAAGTACTTTAGAAGCTCCGCGAAATATTTCTGAAATTCTAGACATAAATAAAACTGACAACTGTCGGGCAAAATACCTAACCTGCTACTTGAAAACTAACTGACCACAGACTTAACCTACAACTGACACACTAGCTGTCTGTGACCTACCGTTTAGTATTCAATGTATAAATCATCACCTCAGTTGCTAACTTAACCAGCTCAAAAAATTGGTAGGTGAGGTCCTTTTGACAAGCACTGTATGTAAACCTATACTACCTTCATTCTATCGGTACCTCTAGGATTTAAGTAAAAAAAATATAAAAAAAAATGTATGTTACAAATAGTTACATAAAAGAAAGAGCTTTATGACACGGCTACAAAGTTCACTTAATCAGAACTGATGGACCAACCATTCGCCAGTTCTACAATAAACAGCATTGCAACATCATATTAAGATTCCCCTTAACACGTCCGCTGCCACTAATTACTTTACAAACTTGGTTGATAGCCGAACCATTTTTTCAAAGAAAACCGCCATTTTGGTGCCATTATAAGTCATTAGATATTATATTGATTTATTTTTTATTCTATTGCCGATGCCTGTCCATACGCACAGATCGACACCCAACGCCCGACTAAACCGAAGTGCATATAAACCTTATAATGCCGAAACGCGTAAACGTGCTCGGAGCATTAGCAACAAGGCTAGCAGAGCGCGTAAACGCGAGAATGGCACGGGAAGTGTCAAGGAACTGTGGAGTATAGAAATCTATCTGCACAGCTCCCCCGTCAATGTCTAGAATCGGCCCATGCTTCATGGCTAGTCGTGTCGAATCTTCGCTGCTACTGAATGTATAGTGCCTTCCTTTCATCATTTTAGCTTCTGCAACCCTTCTATAATGGTGCACCCTTCTTCAGTCAGCAAATTAATTGGCGAGATTCCATCTACCTCCACCAGCGACTCCGTATAAAGGCGCAGATCACGCGCGGTGCCGCTGTTCGCTGGCACATGAGCATCAGTCTCCTATAATCTCTTTTTCGATGTGTCTTCATAGAATAGAGCCCCTTACAACATCACCGAGTGCAATAGCAACACTTACGATAGTCTATCGGAATTTATTTTTAATGATCTGTTTGAACGACATGTTTTTGTTACGATTCCGTTATTGCTTTTGATTTTAAAGACTCCAAAAAGAAAAACGATATACTAATCATGGGCTATGGGTACATCTTGGCCTTGCACTGTCACGGGGATTGTAGCTTGAAATAGGTTGGAAGCGCTATTGAGCAGTATTAGCTGATACCACGTGCTATGTCGATTGGGGCATTTTGGCCCTTTTATACAATTTCCGATGGCTTCCCGTTTTGGTGTAACAGTCAGAACAACATTTATAATTTCCCTTGTCACTGTTTGCCTCGGAAACGATTTTACCGCCTGAACTGCTTTGTTTAAACGGTAACACCAGTGTAATTACCTAAAAAGTGATATTTCGACATGTTATTTTGTTGAGGAAAAGGTAATAAAACAGTAATATTGGAGAAAGTTACTGAGTTATAAGACATATTAGGTAACAAAAAAAATAGCATAAAAAATAATCAGAAATGGCGGCATGGCAGCCATTTTCGCGAGGCGGAAATATGTGGGAGATTTTAAAAATATTGACTTTTTTGCGGTTGTCGAGTATTTGACATGAAACGTTCAGTTTTAGACGACAAAAAGGTAGTCATCAAGAAAATCCCCTAAAGACTTCGCTTCAAAATTTTAATACGTTTTCATGATAATTATCTTTTTTGTTACATAAATATATGCTTAATGACCAATACTATTATTTCAATACCATTTCTTCCACCATATAAAAATTACAAAAAAATACTTTTTTATGTCGTTGCAGTGGTGTTACCCCTTAGTCCAATTTTGACTCTCCGGTTTTTATCTTTTGCGACAAATCTAACAATAAAAGGACAACATAACATACAAGCGATATCAAAACCAACAAATTCGAAATCGATTCCTTCACCGTTATCAGAGGAGATTTCATCAATTCCTTCTGCGGTATCGTGATTTCTCAAGAGAGGCAATTCATGTGAATATTAATACCTTACTCAGAAAAAAAATGATGTTTCAAATAGCCTTTTTTATTGTTTATTACCATTATTACATAAAAAGTTCAGGCATCTAGTCTCAACATAAAGTTTCAAACAGTCATTGGTGTAAAAAATACATTTTTTCGATTTCTGTAGAGTTCAAAATATCACAATACTACATGTGCAAAATATCAAGTCGGTTCTTTTATCCATTCCGGCGAGATAATTTTTTTTCTATTTTGAAATTATTATGTCGTTGAAGGCCAGTTTGAGTCCCCAAGTTTATATGAATTTGAGTGTTTTCTTTGGACCTACTTTCAGGCCCAGAAAAAAATATTGCACTACGCCGTCAAATACTTTTTGAAAATAGTCTTTGTGAAGTAATAAGGGATTGTAATACTGGCAATACTTCTTATCACTGAAAAAATGTACATACACATTGCCCTCATCTGTCCGATAATCCTTGGCTACTCTTATTTACTAGGCAAACACCATTTGGGTTTTGATTTTTTCACGAGGTTGACGCTAAGAAAAAAAAAATAATGCGATTTTTGAAATGATGGCAGAGTTATAGTCCAAAAAAACACAAGCTAGATGTTTCCAAGACCATTGAAAATATTTGAAAAAAATTTGAAACAGAATATTTAGCAACAGTTGTAGATTTTTTAGCGCTATCATCAACATAGATACATGCTTTCACGATTTAGACTTCCGTAATCTATTATGATTGCCCACACATTCAACTTAAAATATCTAGTTTAACTTCCTTCTCCTTTCTCCCCCAAATCATATAACGGTGGTTACTGACAAATTACGCAGTAAAGAGACTTAAGAAAAAGACTGAAGGAAAGTAATGGCACAGATTATTGTGATGCATGGAAAGCAAACCTACATGTTAATAATTTTTCGTTACTGTGATCCACCCTCTAAAACTAAAGTTACAAACAGCCCGTTATCATACATTACTCATACCATAATGACAAACGAGCGGCTACTCCCAATAAAATGCATCATGTTATACTCAAAAGCTGCACTTTATTCCTATTATCTGAAAATGACTTGCGCCGAACACCTTGTCTTGCTCTCCACCCTCAGACCAGAAATTTTAGCATTGAAAGCCCTGGGTTTTTGGAAAAGTGAGAGCAAGAATTCCATATACAACTCAATCTACTACAGATTTTACAGAAGCCTTATTCTGCTTGGAATCACATTTTTCCAATTCCTTGGATACATGTATATATACGAAAAGCGTAATTCTATAAGTATCGGTGATGTTACATCAGTACTATTCGTCTATATATATATATTGAATGTTCAAATAGTTATGACATGCATATTTCTCAATATGGACAGATTACATACCATCATAGACCAACTGTCATGTGAGACTCTCAAACTCAAAGTACAGAGACATGTGACAATAGTAAAGCAGCTGAGGAGATTCCCAGACATCATCAGGAAGTACTATTACAGTAGCCTCGTATTTGTGATCTTGGTACAGCCAATGGTGAAATTGTTGAAAAAGGACAAGGAACCATTTTTTGCAAGTTATATTCCACCAGTGATGGGTCAAATGGGAGTATTGGTCTTCCAAGAGATTATGATAATGATCCTAGGGCATGCTGGTTGTGTCTATATTATTTTAGACATAAACTTGATGATAGCAATCAGCATCCAAGTAGAAATTTTGAAGGATATTTTGACCGAGGTAGCAGACATAGATGGTATAATTCAGTGTATCAAGAGATATGAGCAGATAATCAGGTAAGTTGTTACATATGTATGTAAAACACAGTCAATCTACATGATATTGCTTACACTCTAAAATCATTTTCGTAATACGAGTACATCCTCTGCTGTATGGAAAATCAATTAAATGTTGTTTATATTACTTATTTCAATATTTTTTAGTGTCTATTTGTACATTTATTTCAGACTTGTCGAGAATGTGCAACATATTTTCCGTGTCGGCATGTCCATACATTTCCTTACTGGTATACTGATCTTTTGCACAACTTTGTTCAAGTTAATGGAAGTAGAGGTAAGTAACGGCTAAAAGATAGAAGACAAGCCCTTACTGATAAACACTCGTATCTACAGACCTTTTTTTATGTTTTAGGTCGATTACAGTCAATGTACGTTCTTAATACCATATTCATTTGCCATAATTTCAATTTTATTCAACCACTGCTGGTTTGGCAATGACATAATTTATAGAGTAAGTTTAATAGTTTAGTCATAATAGTCCACTTCCAATTAAAATAATAGAATAGGGCATAGTTGATAGTTTCAACAAATATATATTTTACGGACATATAGCCAAAGCCTATTATGTCTTATCAGCACAGCACAGCGGGTAAGCCAATAGTGATGATCAAACTGTACATTTTACGCACATCACTACAAAGTATATGATAGCTATCTAAGCCCTTGGCTATGCACGGTGTGAACATGGCCATTGAGAATCTATAGTTTTAACCTTTGTAGATAACTAAATTCGGCCACTGATCCCCTTACCTGGTCGAAATATGCTTGTTCCGCAAGGTGGCCACAGGCCATAGCTCTCTAAAAAAAATCAGTAAAACTGACGTTTTTGAGGGTGGGTGGAGCCACTAAAGAACGTGATCATTATACGGAACTTATAACTATTTTATTATATGTTAACAAAAAGTAGAGTATGCGTAGGTTGAGGCTTTGAAAATTTCAATGATTATGGGAAATCAATGATACGTGAAATATGTCTAGTAGTGCGTAGTATTACTGGGGTTGGAAACGCGTAAATATATTAAGGCCGAAAAAAATCAGTCACCTTGAGTACCTTTGTGTGGAAAGTTCATCAACATCCGAACGGCACCTTCTAAGTTATAGACGAACCAAGGACAGACTGACCGATAGAGAGAGACATGGTTTTTCGTGATGTACATTGTACATGTCAAATAATATCCAAAAAACATAATATGGTGCGCGTCATTACAGCAGGTAGAAAAATGTGACAAATTCCTGGTTTCATCTTTTTGAGCATTTAAAGTGCCCTGAAGTAACCAGAAAGTTCAGAAATGTTGAAAAATAGAGTTTACAGAGATCCGAAATATTCTAGGATTTTTAATTTTCGCTCACAGCTCCGTAGCCGTTGGATATATCTTCATAATCCAGAAAGTACTACGATGACTTGATAATACTAATGTTTCACAGATCCACCAACATCCGAGCAATATACCTTCCGAGGAGATAAGGAGAATCCCAGTATGAGTGGCTTATGATATGGCGTTTTGTGATTTACATATCATCCAGGACCGAAACAACATCATTTCTGGATTCAGGATATTTCACGATTACAATATTTCCTGACCAATTGACGTAAGAAGCAACATTAAGGATCGTTTAGTTTTAGCTTACTTAATGATCTTTAATTTTTGACTTAGGGGCAGTTTAGTAACCTTTGTGGAAATGTCCGAAAAAATTAGTAATTCATGAGGAAAAAATAACAAAAAATGAGTACCCTAAAAAGAATGAGGAATAATGAGAAAAACGAGTACGCGGTACCCCTGATGCCCCGTCTTCAAGAGAGAGAGAGATTTCATAAGGATGATCTGTCGACGAATTTGGTTATCTTCAAATGTTACAACTATTGATTCTCAATCGGCAGCGCTACTTGTCGTGACATTTCGGTGTTGCTATCATATTCTTTGAGGAATACAGGGTTACTGGTAATTGATTGTATTCCTTCCATGGCGTGATATTTCACCCTATACACAAGGTGCTTCAAAAAGACTTGCCAATATTTCTAGGGTAGAAAGTACATCAAAAGATAACAAAAAGAAAGTTCCTATAAATATGGGTCCAAAGATACTCCCCTACAGAGATACGGGGTGTTGAAATTTTATATACCAGATTAAAACAATATATCTAAGGAGCAGGTAAAAATACTCAGTTATGATTTTAAACGTTTAGTAAGCACTTCATGAGTAATGAAGACACGGAGTTACCTGGCCCAAACTAAACCAGGGTCGTAGAAACTGGGGTACCTGGACCCCTAGTGGGAAATATTTTCTACGTAACAGGCCTTCTTGGAGAAAAGAAGTGCATTTTATAAAATACCATCCAATTTTGAATAAATTTTGTCTCTTAAGTAATTTTTGACAGACTTGTTTTGGAGATATTTTGGTGTGAATGTTTGAGGTATCTAAGGAGCAGGTAAAAATACTCAGTTATGATTTTAAACGTTTAGTAAGCACTTCATGAGTAATGAACACACGGAGTTACCTGGCCCAAACTAAACCAGGGTCGTAGAAACTGGGGTACCTGGACCCCTAGTGGGAAATATTTTCTACGTAACAGGCCTTCTTGGAGAAGAGAAGCGCATTTTATAAAATACCATCCAATTTTGAATAAATTTTGTCTCTTAAGTAATTTTTGACAGACTTGTTTTGGAGATATTTTGGTGTGAACGTTTGAGGTAAAATCCTTATATTCCTATGAAAAAGTTAATCCTCCACTATTCTAAAAATACTGTGAAGCTTGATATTGGAAACACTATATGGCGTGTGAAGAGCGCTATTGCACCTCATTACAAAATTGAATAATATGCGTATCTTATGCTCAATCAGTAGCGTAGAAGCTTACCATTCAGTAAACCTTGTTTATGCACGCCACTGATTTTCATGGTATACTTCTCCCGATGTTAAATTCTTGTGTTTGTCTAAAACCACAACTAGTACTTGTGGACCCAACCAATTTGAGTAAAGTTCTTATCATTTTACTTCTGAAATTATCGGCACTTTTTCTTAAAATTCTTTAGCATTTCCGATTAAGTGAGCTCAACAATGAATATCTCACAAATCGTTAGCAACCTCGGACAAAGTATGAGGATGAAATTCACAGAACTGTTCCTGCCATGCCAGGTATTTTTCAAAGAGTCAGACATGGTAAATATAATTTTACTTCAATTTTCTAAATAAAGCTTCATCACCCTGAATTTCGGTGCGGGATCATCTTTGGACCCATGTTTATAGGTGTTTTCCTTGTGATTTTTGGATGTACTTTCTACCCTAGAAATATTGGTACATCTTTCTAAACCCTGTATACCACCTTGATCACAGGTCCTCGGAATGGTCGCCGTGTGGCGCTCGTAGCACTCGGCTGTCAATTGTTTGTTTTATTATAGTGCTCAACTGTCACTGATATTTCCTCCGAATTTTGGCGTCATTCCATTATCAGTTGTCAAAGCTACGTCGAGTTGAGTACATGTGCTTTTGAGCGTGTTCACGATTTATAAGGATTTTTAAAATGGATCTGAATGAAGAACAACGCTTTTGCATTAAATTTCCTGTTAAAAACAATATCGACGGTACGCAAACCTTGAAAATGCTAGAAAAATGCTTCGGCAACGATGCTTTGAAGAAAACAGCCGTTTTCGAGTGGCACAAACGGTTCACAGAAGGTCGTGAGTCTATCGCCGATGATGAGCCCTGCGGCAGGCCATCGACATCGAAAACAAAAGAAAACGTTGACAATGTGAAGAAAATGTTGGCAAACAACCGCAAATCAATTATCAGAAGGATGGCGGAGGACTTGAGCATTGCTTATGGATCCATTCAAAGCATGCTGGTCAACGATTTTGTCTCCGTCGTGTTCAGCTAAGTTAGTGCCAAAAGACTTGAATCTCATGCAAAAAAAGACCGTGTTGATATCGCCAAAGACATGATTTCCATCGCTGAACATTTATCAAACGCATCATTAGTGGAAATGAGACGTGGGTTTATGAGTATGACACGCAGTCAACACATCAGGCGAGTGAATGGCGCGCGCCGGAAGAGCCAAGACCGAAGAAACCGCGTCGTTTCCAGTCGAGAAAGAAGGTAATGCTCACGGTTTTAATGAATTACTACGGCGTGGTGCATAGTGAATTCCTGCCAGAAGGTCAGACTGTCAACAAGGTGTTTTGGGAAGTTTACTTGAATCAATCCGTCAAAAACGGAAGGGGGCAAACAGCTTGTGGATCTTGCACCACGATAACGCACCATCGCACAATGACATAATTATCCGTGAGTTTTTTGCCAAAAACAACACAAATACAATTCAACAGCCACCAAATTCACCTGACTTTGCCCCCTGTGACTTCTTCTTGTTCAGTCGAATCAAAAAGCCACTGAGAGAAGCCGGTTTCAGCAGCCGAGAGGAGATGATGAAAAAATCGGAGATGACCCTAACATCGAGTTGAAAAAATGTTTCGAGGACTAGATCAAGCGTTAGCGTTGGTACATTGCAGTCAGTGGGAACTACTTTGAACGGGCCAGTATCGATTTTGAACAATAAACTTGTATTATTTTTTTAATAAATTCCGGGAACTTTTTGATCAACTGATTTCGATGTTTTTCAATTTTCGAGATTTTTTAATAAATAATCATTTTAGTCTAAAGAATAAAAAAACTATGTAAGATACGTGTGGGAATTCAATCGAATTTCGTTTTCTATACTTGAAGTATACTAATACAAACTGATAAAATAATAAAATTGCTAAAAAAATGAATTCTATGTCGTAGTCTATGTAATTTTATCATCATACATAAGCGTACGCTTAGGCAGTCGGGTACACCAGGGACGTAGGTTTGAGTTGACTATAATTATGTACGCACATCCCTTATTCCGCATTCTCTGTATTGGTGTCTGTACAACCGTATGTAAACGCGCAATATCGAGGTGTGTTTATGTTGAAAATTCATAGTTTCTACATGGAATTATAAACTGAAAATCGTACCAGCCATAAATGTGTGGAAGAGTTACACTGTGAAATTAAATTTGGAATTGTAGTGCAAAAACTTAGTAACTGATCTTTATACTATATAGCTGCTTCAAAAAGCCCACAAACGACAAGTCATACTTTGATTCAAGAAAACGCTGAACATAGGAAGTAAAAATATATAACTAAGCGTATCTGGAGGAACGTTGGTGAAACTACGGAAGGGCGTCCAAGGAACTACAGGTATATGACACATTTTTGAAATTTTATGTCAGACGCTTTTGTCAGTTGAAGAGTGTTAGCTAACCCTAAGCATCTAGAAGATAAATCCATACCATATGAGCAAAAAGAAAAAAATCGAAAGGTTCTGATGACCCTCCACAAGAAAAACTTCCAGAGCCTACAAAATACAGTACGAGGAGTTCAAATAATCCATCCATAGCAGCGTTAATGAAAGAAAATAATGAACTAAAGGCAAA